GAGTGTGCTTTCCCTCCCGTCCCTTTGTGCCCTTGCGGCTCTTGCAGGAAGCATTTGGAGCCTTCCGGTTCCTGGAGGGAACCCACACGTTTAAAAAGCTCTGGTGGGTTGTCTGAGGACCTGTGGACACGGGCAAGACAGCCAGGAGGGACTGAGCACCCTGTGGTCTCTGCAGCATCACCTTCCCACCAGTGCCATGCTCCGGGGGCAGCCCAGCTCGTCTGCAAAGAGTCTGTGGGGTACCAGGACCGATCGTCCTGCCTGTCGAACGCTGGGCGCTGCGTTGTGCCAGTGATACGGAAGAAGATGTCAGGTCCTGTCGCCTTTCTGAGTACCCAAAAGCATGAGAGAGTCGCTGAAGGGTGGGAGCTGGATGCTGCTGGTTGGGCAAAGGCAGAGGATGCTCGAACTAGGCAGAGGATGCTCGAGCTGTGCAGAGCTTGAAGGCTGCAGCCCAGAATGATCCCGGGTGGCTGGTACTGGGGGGTTTCTGCTCTGACCAAGCGGAGAGCCTGGAGAAGATGTGGTGTGGTGGGAGAGAAGTGCTTGGTAAGCACAACAGAGGAAGGTATGCCTGTGGGCATGGCCCGGGACCGCGTGCAGGGACATGGAGCACAAGTACATTGAGTCTCTGGTGGTTCTGGTTTCACTGCAGCCCTTTGAGCAGAGCACGAAGCCTGGTCTCTGTGGGATAGGTTTTCTAAACAGCTTGAGTGCAGTTGCTGAGCACATGTAGTCAGGGCCAGATCGTCAGAAGAACTCACTAGCCAGCAGTTCGCTTTTTGGAAAACCTGACCATTTATTCAAGCATCTAAATGGGAGCTGAGGCATTCCAGAAATCTGGTCCCTATTGTGCAGGCTGGCTTCTTGCTGAACATGGACATACGTACACACTCCTACATGTAAGCAGAGGGCTGCTCAGTTTGACGTAGCCTCTGCGCTGCCGACGGCGAAGGGAGATGTTTCAGCCAGGACACAGCCAGGACTGTGAAGCTGGAGGACGCGAGTTTGGTGGTTGCCATCACAATGAAACTGTGGGAGGTTTTCTGGTTTGCTGTGGTGACACTCAGGACGTTGCTGCCTTTCCCCGTGCGTGTGCACATGTGTCTCTGTGTGTAGGTTCATTGTGGTTAGCCAAAAAGGCTTGGCTCTGCCTTATGTCATCTTGACCATGATATGTGAAATTAAATCATCACAGTGCTGTCCTGCTGTATTACTCCCTCCTCTTGCAGCTTCATGACTGAAAAGCCTGTGGGATTTGGGGTCTGAAAAGGAGAGAATAAACTCTGTGGTACTCAGAAAGTTTAAGGATTGGAGTTTGTGCAGTTACTTGGCAAAACTTACTGCAATGAGGCTCCTGTTCTCCATTTTTGGCTTCCATGAGTGACACTGGGAGCATCTACAAGTAGGTGAGCGTGTATCCAGGTGGAGTGGGGATCCCTGATGTTTCTGTCTGAAGTTATGGATGACTTTGTGAAATATCAGCAAGTTCCTTCGTCCCTGGTTTCCCCATTTGTAAAATGAGATGTAGACATTAAAAACCTCTCGTCAGCCCTTGAAACTCTCTCTGCTGTGTGCTATTAAGTGAGTGCAAACTGTTACTACTACTGGAATAACGAACGCTGATCTGCACATAGTCTGTGCTTAACTTAGCTGCTTAACTAACTGGGCTACAGTTTCCCCATCTTCCTGTCCTAGAAGACCCACGAGACACAGAGTTTATAGCACGAGAAGCCCCAAAGTATTTAAAACATGATGAGATTTAGCAAAGATTTAATTTTCATTTGTCTTTCGGCACTTAGTCTGCAGGAATCACATTTTCAAGCTTTCCATGTGCACTGCCAAAGCTGGAAATTTATATTAAAGAAGGGGGTGTGTGGAAAGAAAACGGTTCTAACAGAGGCTTTCACAGATATGCTGAATGCCAGGAGCCTTGTGATAAAATGATGGATATTGGCAGCGTTGGTTGGGCACTCAGCAAGTGCAGGGAAGCTCGAGGCTGCGTTGGCCTCCTTTTTGCATCAGCTCATCCCAGGGAAACCTTCCGTGGTGCTTTCCCTGCCTGGTGGCTGCTGCATGGGCCTCCTTTCAAGGGCAATGAAAACTCAGTCAAATACACACTGGAAGGTGCTGATCTCTGGAGCACTTTTGCTTCACTTCATGCCCTGTCCTTCCTCTTGTCCCTTTTTTTTACCCATTCAGTATATTGTTTTCTAAGCTAATTATTCCACTCTCTTCTCTCCTCCCCAAAACCACACAGTGGAGCTCATGTGTTTGCTGCAATTGCATCTTCCCCTGACAGCATCCCAACTTTGGCATGTGCTGGCAGCTGTAGCCTCGGGGCTTTGCCTGCATGAGGAAGCAATCAGCATCTTTCTGAAAGTCAGTGAGTTGTGATATGACTGCTCTGTTCTGAGTGCACCTTCGGTCCAGACTGAGGGCCACAGCTTCTAGAAGAAAAGGCCCATGCAAGGGAGTTGTACCAGAAGAGGCACAAAAGGGTCTCAGGCAGGAGGATGGGTTTCTCCAAGCCCTGCATCTCCTGCAGGTGTTTATCTGACTGCAGCTCTCTTGGTCCACACAGCAGTGACCACACTGGGGAGTTTGGAACTGAGCACAGAAGGTTCTGTACCTTCAGCAAAGAAAGCCACATCTTTAGCTGGTATCAGTAGCACAGAAAAGCTCCTGTTGTCAGCTGAGTGTGTTCCCATGGGAGCATGCAGCTAGGAAAACAGGGAGGAAGCAGGAGTGTGGATGGAGCATGCTCTTCTAGCCATCATCCTGTATGCCAGCTGGCCTGGCATCCTCAAGCCCCACTGAGTGGAGGTCACACAGGCCTACCTTTTCAGTCCTTTCACTGAGAACATCCAAATAACACTAACTAAGAGTAAGCTCCTTGGTTACAGAACATTCCCCAGGAGAATATAAAATCAGGGCAGGCAGGACTCGGTGTTTCCCAGGCCATGACTTTCCCTTGGTTTGCTGTTTGAAGAATCCCAAGGTTCTGGGATTTTAGTGAGATTAAAAACCAGAATGAAGAAATCAAACTAAATAGTCTGTCTCCTGTGAGCAGAGATGGACCCAGACCAACTGTCTCTGTTGGGAGGGGAGATGTGAGGGATCTCTCTCTAGGTTAAACCTACATTCTGAGATCTCCACTGGCTGATCTCTTTACTTGTGCACATACAACGTGGGCTGAAATCAAGATTCTCCCATTGTCTGCACAGGGTGGATCTGAGAAAGCCTTGAAGAAGGCAGAGAGTGAGGGTAAGGGGCACACTGGGGAAACAGCAAGAGGAAGGCTCAGGTTTCTTGGAATCAGCCAGAGCTTGTTAAGTCCTTCCCTATCATCTTACCATAATCTGATTTGGGGGCTTCTGTTGATATTCTGCACTCCAGATGTTGGCTGCAGCTGGGGTAGAGGTAATGGGATGCTCCCAGACAGAAGAAGCTGGGATGTGGGGGAAAGGATACTGGGCTCATGTGGATGGGTGGAGAAGGAAAAGGGAATGTGAATGTATGGTTGTAAATCCACACCACACACCCTCCTTTCTATTCCCTCACAGCGGCTATTCTCAGCAGAGGAAAAGTTACCTTTCCAGTGCTCTCTGGTTTCTTTTGCAGAGTCGGAAGGACAAAGAAAGACCTAAACAGAAGCACAAAAAACGTCCGGAGTCTCCCACCAGCCTTACCCCATCCTTGGTGCCCGTGGCTGCAGAGAAGGTACCAAACCCTCAGGATGTGAGTGCGGGGATGGAGGGCAGGGGGAAACCATTGGTACTGAGTGGGGAGGACAGGGCAGGAGAGCAGAGAAAGGGCTTTGTCCCTGTAGTTTGATTCCTGATTGTCACATTCTCACTCTCTGCCTCACTCCCCACTTTGGGAATTTAACATGGCAGCTGTCTCTATTCCTGTCAGCGTTGACGATGCAGTCATGGAGCTGAGCTCCCAAGTGATGGAGCTGTAAGTGCCACCCTGTTCTGCAGCAGCTGTTCAGATTGGAAGCTCTCATGGAAGAGAGAAACATCCACACTTTGGCCTTTGCTGCTGCCACATCGTGAACAGCTCAGGCAGGTGGATAAGCAAGACAGGGCTTGTGGGAGGAGGTGTTATCCTTCATTAGACAAACTGATGGAGCTGAGGGAAGAAGTCCCAGACAATCTTAGAAGTACATAAGATCTTCAAATGGCATAATAGAGGTGGCTTTTCTGTGCAAGACTATGGGAGGTTGGTTTCTATTAGGTCCCTCATTTCAGGAACATTCAGGCAGAGGGGCACAGTGAGGTGGCCTGGGTTGCTCCTGGGGTGTAGAGGCAGTCCAGTTCCTGCTGGGAAGATGCTGCTTGTGTGCATCTTCTCAGTGCCCAGGGCTAGTGAGACACAGTCAGGTTGTGTGTGCGTTTCTCTCTATTCACTGCTGAAATCATGCTGCTGACATGGACTTTTGCACCTGGCTGTAAAACAGGAAAACCCATGAGCCCCAAACTCCCAGTAATGCAGAATAGACACAGCTGAGCTGGCCTCAAGCTTGCACGCAGCAAGGTGAAGGCCAAGTTTGTGGTTGTTCAGGGTCAGGAAACAAGTGAGGTTACTCCAGCACCTGGACCTTTGGAGTTGGCCTCTCCTGTGTGTAGTGGTAATGTAAATTAATGCAACTCCTTAGCAGGGCTGTTCTGGTATAAGTGAGAGTAGGACTAGGGCCAAGCTCCTCCTAGAGCAAATAAACAGCATGTCCCAGGAATGTCCTTTTGTGCACAAAAAATGCTCCTTCAAAGGCTTGGGCGTCCTTTACGTGGCAGGACTGCCCTGTGGAACTGAAAATTCACAGGCTGGCGGTGTCTGTGTATGTGAGCAGCGCTGCAGGGGCAGTCTGGAAGGGAGAAAGCTCCTGCCAGTCAGCACAGGGTCACTTTGGGTTAGGGCTGAAGAGGCTTTTCTATGTTCTGTGTGAGGCCAAGCCTCAAAGCAGGGAGCAGATGTAGGTCAGAGCTGAAATGGCGAAGCTGCTGTCGTGGTTCTCGGGCTGGGAGAAGCAGAAAGTTATAGCAGGACGGAGCGGAGGAAGAGCCTCAGAGCTGCCATCACTCTTGATTTACCTGGGCTTTTGTTCGGGCAGCTCAGCTCTGGCTTTGGGAGCAGCAGATTCACCCCGTTAACAGAGCTGCCAGGAACTGATGGCCTAAGAAGATTGTTTTCAAGCTGAACTGAAACCCAAACCCTGACTCCTGGCCAGCTCGAGCGGTTGTGAGACAATTACCCACTGTCTCCTCCAGAGCCCTGCCAGACCTTTATCAATGAGGAGGAAAGGGTCCAATTCACTTTTACAGGCAGCTTTCAACTCTTTGTAAGCTAAAATTCAGGATACCCTAATTACTGTGGCCACACTTGAGTGACAGGGTTTTAGTGTTTCCCTAGGGAGTTACTATTAATCCTCATAACAGAGAGTGTATTTCCCTTGCCTTTTTTTTGTGCATAGATCCCAAAATACTGTTCCAACTCCGTTACCAAAGGTACCCCAGGTGGAATTTAAGAGCTGCTCAGCAGCCTGCTACAACCCTGCACAAACCCCTCAGAGGGTGGTTGTATGAGGCTTTCTGCATAGTTGCACTGGTGTAACATTGCACAGGCTAGACTAACTTAAAACCTTGAGACACATTGATGCAGCACATCCAAATAGGTTTCCTCTTGGAAGCCAAAACTCTCTTTGGCCTTTCTGGCTCATAGACAAGTGCAACTCATCGCAGCAGAGTGTACTGCAAACCAAAAGCTGATAGGCATGGTGTGACCGTGCAGAAGAGCATCGCTAGTCCCTGCTGCACCATGGTTAGAGTCTGAGGAGAGCTGGGTCTCTTCCTCTCCTTACCACTTGCATGATCTTGGGCAAATCATTTAACACCTCCATGGTCTTATCCAAGTTTCCCAGTGAAGCAGAGTACAAACTCCCCATGGATAATCCCTGTGGGTGACACAGCACCCTGTCTTTTGTGGGGAGCAGCTGGGCAAGAGCACATCTTACTGTGCAGCAGGACACTGGCCCAGTGGGCAGAGCCACAGGAGGCTGGTGCAGCCCTTGATGTCCACGCCAGAGCCGTGTTGCCAGCACTCTGTGATGCTCACACCATAGCCAGAGCAGCACCACACACAGTGGGTCCCAGGCTCCCGTCCTGGTGCACATGCTGTGCTGGAGCAGGGGTTGGACTGGTGGCACTGAGCATCACTCGTGTCCTGGCGCCAGCAGTGAGGAGCAGGAGCCAGATGATCAGCAGATTCAGGCCCTGGCACCGGTTGCTCTGTGGACACCAGGACTATGGGCAGACTGTAGTATGGCACCAGCCATTAGGCCATGGAGAGGGGTTACTGGTACCTGAAGCCACACTCCAGCCTACTCCCAGTTTACTTAGCCTAGAAGGAGCCTGGAGCAACAGGCGTCTGAGCCCCAGCATCTGATGTTGCTGCCAAAGTTCTCTGAACCTTTCAGCAACCCTTTAATAACGTCTTTTCAGAGCTATACTCTTATGTAGTAGGACTTTTCAACCCACTTCAGCAGGTGAGGCTGACAGCAGTGGCACTACACTGCCTTGCTTTAGAGGAACAGTGGTGTATTGCACTTCCCTGTCGTCTCTGGCAGCCTGGCCTCTGCGTTCATGTTTTTCTTTAGTTTTGCAATCCAGATTTCTTTTTCAGTTCCAATTTTCACCTAATCCATCGTCCACCCCGTGCTCCCCTCTTGAACCATTTAGTTATGAAGATCCTTTGATGTGGTTTCAGTCTTCCTCTTGAAATCAATAGCGGTAGATCTCTGACTCTGCCAGATTTTTGAACATCTCACTGAGTGCTTCCCTGTGTCCTCTAGGAAGTTAAATACCATCAGTACCTGACACTTGGACTCTCCCAGGCCTCTGTGTGCTGTCTGTGCAGGGACAAGCTCTCGCTGCCTCGCTCAGGTTTGGCAGATAAACATCCTGAGAACACAGTGGTGGCCTCAGCTCTCATCTACACCGGAAAGTGAAACTAGGGTGCGACTTCACAGCATGCAAATGCCTCTCCATAACACCTCGTCGCAGCTTTCCTCCTGCCTCTGCAAAGTGTGTGTGGGTGAGGAGATGTTCGTTGCCCTCACAGAGGGGCAGGAGACCTCGCTGGTGGGGCGCAGGAGTGTCCATTCTGGGGAGCACACTCAGCTGTGACCCGCTGCAAATCCCCCAGGGTTTTGGGGGGATGTAGAGAGTGGTTTTGTGCTGGAGAGAGGCTTTCTTTCCTTCTCCCACTGGCTGCTTGGAGCTCACACAGACTTTCTGGGGAGTGGGAAGGAAGCAGAGAACATCCCCTCTGGGTAAGAGTTTCTGGCTATTTCACATGGTCCATCCAGAAATGCTGCCAGAAGGGAATGCTTCTGAACAGCCTGTTGGAAAGATGACATCTGTGGAGTGGGTCTGGGGCAGAGGAGGGTTTCTCACCATGGCAGGAGCAATGAGCCTCACCAGTAAGTCTTGGCAGCCGGAGTTTCTCTGTCTCTATAGTCACAGGCTGCCAAATTGAGGAGGCAGTTTCTGTGCTCAGGATCTCTCCGTGTAGCTGGTGCCTGGTGCTGGGATGGGGTTGGTGAGCAGCAGCACAGCAAACCTGCTCTTCCCTCCTGCTGCGAGCGCCCCTGGGGAGCCTCCTGCTGCTCTCTGTTGCGCTCGCAGTAAATCTGCAGGATTGCAACCCCCCCAGCTGCCTTCCCCTGCCAGCTGCAGGCATCAGGAGCACTTGTTGACACACACTCACACATGCTGTGCGTTTTGGGCTGCAACATCTGGCTCGCTCTGGGTTTTGTAAGCTAAGCTGGGGAAACCAAGGCCTCCCACTCCCATCCTTCTGCAGTCAGGTGCTGGAGAGGGAGCCCGGCAGGATGAAAAGCTCCTGATTGCAGACACCATGGAAGGCAGGGAGACTTTTCAGGTTTCCCGCTGTTTCTTGAGCTCTTGGTGTCTTCCCAAAGCTGGCCTGGAACTGACAGATCCTGGGAATCTCTGCACTGTGCCTGGCTCAGGCAAATGCACGGTCACTGTGATGGGGTAGGAGGTTCTGGGGGAAGGCTGATGATTATTCCTGCTAATCACAGCGTGTCTCAGCATGGATATTTACAATAAGAATTCCTTTGGCATCCTTTGTCCTGACATGAGTGGAAATTTGCCAGTGACATCAGGGACTTAAAAATACAGTCTTCATAGAATCCCAGACTGGTTTGTGTTGGAAGGACCTTAAAGCTCATCCAGTTACAACCCGTTGCCGTGGGCAAGGACTCCTACCACTAGACCAGGTTGCTCCAAGCCCCTGTGTCCAACCTGGCCTTGAACACTGCCAGGGATGGGGCAGCCACAGCTCCTCTGGGCACCCTGTGCCAGCGCCTCAGCACTCTCATAGTAAAGAATTTCTTCCTAATGTCTAATCTAAATCTCCTTTCTGTCACCTTATAACCATTCCCCTTGTCCTATCACCACATTCCTTTATAAAAAGTCCCTCAGCCCATCTCTATCTCCTATTTCCCCCTACAAAAAACAGCAGCACGGTGCTGCCTGGTCTTGAGATGGAGGGACGGGACATGGTAAATACTGTGAGTGGCTCAGACACAGAGAAGCTGTGAGATGCTGATGGAGACTCGTCTCACCTCCATCTAGTGATCCAGGATGGAAAGGCAGCTGGTGCTTACAGCCTGCCTGGGTGGCTGCTTCTGCACATCACCCTGCAGTGCATGGGCTGGAGGAGCCCTTGCTCTCGTCGCATTGTTCCTTGTTGGCATCCTCCCTGCTTCCCCTGCCAGTAGTTTAATCCAGGGCAAAGCTGCTCTGCGTGGCTGACGCGCGGCACCAGCCTCCTCCTTTTCCTTCTGGATCTCCTCAGTGGTTCCCTCTAGGAGCTCGTCCCGCCAATCAGGAGGCAAAGAGATGCTCTTCTGATTTCCCATCAATAAATTAATGAATGAAGAGCTTGGGTGCTGCACAGTGTCCCAGGGAGGCCAGGAATGAGGGACAGCCCCTCGGGGGACAGGAGGTACGTGCGTGCCGGCGCGACTTCGTCTCACTTCGGGCTCCTGGGTTGAGGCAGGAGTTTCCCCATCAGAGCGTCACCTCCAGCTGAGGCAGCAGGTTTATTCTGGTGACATTTTTCACTTGGTTGCTTTAAAGAAACCTTCAAAATGTAGCTCCTGGCTCATTTTGAAAGAGAGCTCTCACTTCCTCAGCGCTTCCCTGCTTTTTCTCCCCTCGGCAGCATGTCACCCCACCCCCACCTGTTTGCCACACACCAAACGGTGGTGTTTCTGCACACACACGGATTTCCACGCTGGGGAATAGCTGATGATCCAGGGATTGAGACCTCTGGTTGTGCCCAAGGCGAGCAGCGGGCATACAGGTTGCTCCAGCCCTGAGCTGGAGAATCTCCTGCATCAGGAAGGTGATGGGACTGCAGCCCTCATCGCTGTTATTAATACTGGCATGATGATAGCAGACCCCTCCACTTCAGATCAAGGCCATGTTGTGCTTGGCAGCCCATGTGTGTCTCCTGGAAGGCTCCATTGCCACATAGATCCTGCAGGACCCATGGAAGCAAGTGGGAAAGAAATAGAGGCACAGAGAGGGGAAGTGATTTAGTGCGGTTTCAGTTTCCCTCTCCTTGCTCCTTAGCTGCATTGCTTGGGCCCTTGCCTCAGATTAAGGCTCTCTGGAATGGTTGCTAGAGAAGGACCCTTGGTGGGGAGGAGGGTGGGAGTTTCCACATGGATTTGCCTGCTGCGACCTACTTGGCAAACGATATCTGGGATAGCATTTGGCAGGAGGTGGGAAAATCCTGCCCCTGGAATCCCTGGGAGTCGCTCAGGGAGGCTGTGAGGTCAGATGAGCCCTACAGGTGAGTGTCTGTCCCTTTGCCACCTTCAGCTGAGCCAGCTCAGCCTCTCTTCCCCTCTCTTTGTTTGATTTTTCCTTTATCTTTGCAATGAAGGTTTATTTCCCAGCTCAGATTTCCCCCTCCCACCCTGCACCGCTTCATTACCTGCCCTGCACTCCCTTCATGACACTCGGGATCGAGAACATGTTTTCTCATGTGGTTTCCCCCCTGCCCTTCTGTGGCCTCGTGCACCTTGTGCAGGGAGCTCCAAAGAGGTGAATTTATGGGAGGAAAACTCAGGGCTTTGCTTTTCTGCTGAGACATGAACCATCTCGTTCCTGCCACTCTGAGAGCAGGCTCCGGACTTCCCATAGCCCCCAGTCACTGCTCCCCTTTCCCTCCCCAGGCAGATGTGGAAAGTCAGAAAGATTTTCATGCTCCCTCTGAGCTCGTAAATCAAGAAGGTTTAATCTCCTACATCCAGGAGTCCGTGATGAGAAAATACAGCTCCCCCCCTTCCTCTCTCCCCTAATTTCCACCACTCCCTTCCTCCTGTCTTTCATATTCCCGGCACATCTGGTGTGTGTTAGGCTGCCAGCTGTTGCATTGTGCAGAGTGATTAAACCGTGTGGGAGGAATGGGGAAGGATTTTTATCTGGCCATTCATGAGTCTGCATTACAAGCCCTTTTTTTCCTTCAGCTCTCCCCAAGAAGAGGTCATCTGGAGTCAGGGATAGTGGAATGTAAGAAAGGGATCGGGCTTCTTCGTGTCTTCCCTCTGTCTGCTCAGTAAGAAATAAAAGGTGTTTGCACTAATGTACAGGTGTTACATTTTGGGCTGGAGCCATCACATTAGGGCTCTGTCTATAATATTGATTGGTTGCAGTAATATCTTGCAAGAAGTCATCTTTGAACACTGCTGGTTTGGCTTTGAAGTGGCTTGAAGGTGAAGTTTTCATATCTTAGTGTGGGTGCCCTGGGGGATCTGGGTTTTGGTTCATTCCACTCTCCCCCTGCTGCTCTCATCCCAAGCTCCTGGATTTCCTAGCATCTGGCCAGCCTCTTCATCTCCCCTTGCTTCCCTGTCTCCTGCAGGCTTAGATGGGGTTTGGAGAGCATCTGTTGCTGCGTGGTCGGATGCTGCTCCACCAATGTCACTGTGAAATACTGCAGTAGATCTTGGAAAGCCCTGGGCTGGCCCCGTTCGATGCTTTAGGGAATCCAGGGGAACTCCTGTCACAGCACAAAAGACAAGTAAATTCCCCCAGTTGGAATGACCTTGCAGAGAACAGCACACCTGAGAGATGCAGCTGAGATACATGCTTGAATCACAGCCAAGTTCAGGTTGGGTTAGGGCTGAATAACCCTCCGAGGTACTTCCCTCTGCTGACGGTGCAGAGAATCTGTGGTGTCTGTGCCTGGATTGGCAGTTCCCTGTTTAATTTCCTGCAGGTAGATGGGATGGGAAGCAGCAATAGAGGGAAATGTGGCTTTTTTCTGCTGAGCAACATGACCTGAACATCACTTTGTGGGCAGAGGGGGCAATTACTTCTCTTAAGGGGAAATTGGTAAAAAGAGCCCCTGCTGTGGCCACATCTGGCCTGAGTGAATGACCTTTGTGTTTGCTGCTGCCAGGGCTCTACTAGCCACCATGAGGGGAGCAAAGAGACCTCGGAGGTTGGCCGGTCGGAGGTGAAAGGCAGGAAGTCCTCAAGCCATGGAAGCAGCCACAAGGGGAAAAAGACTGGAAGTGGGAAAAGCTCAGTTGGCTTCAGCTCAGCTTCATCCAGCGGGACCTTCCAGCCTGCAGGTAAGGGGTGAAGGCAAGAGAGGAGGGGAGAATGGATGTTTTGCTTTGCTCCTCTTTGATATGTAGCTGTAAAGATACACCAGCAAGTGCTCATGGTTGTTTCTTTAACCCCTGGAAGAGAAAGGGAAAAGTCTTGCTGCTACTAACTCCTTGCAGAGAGGGAAGAACCAAGGCAGATGAGTGTTACAGCTCCCCTCCCGCACAGACCTGCTGCACTGCAAGGGAAAACAGATCCAGATGTGTGAGTGGAGCGAGGAGGGAAGGGATACAGGCAGTATGGGCAGCACCTGCCCTCTCCTCCCTAGGTGGTACTGTCTGCAGCAGTGTTCTAAGGAGTTCTGGTGGAGAGACCTGAGCCAAACCCTGGGATCCAGGCTCTCCTGAGCTCTGAGTCAAAGCCTTGTTGGGCTCCCATTGCTCTGACCCTGCTCGGTTCTTTTCTGAGCTGTTGCTGTAATGGCCAGTGTGTTTCATCCCCTGGTACCCTAATGGGGCTGGAGGGATGGATGGGGGATGATGCAGGGCCTGGGGGAGCAGACATGGGCAATATTTGGGTAGGGTGAAGATGCTGGTGTGCACCTCTTGTGTTTGCCAAAGAGCGTCAAAGGTACGGGCTTGGGGGTGACAGGGATGGCTTCAGCTCCATAAGCAGCCTGTGCTAGAGGAGCTAGGCCAGGTTGGACGGGGCTTGGAGCAGCCTGGTGTAGTGGAAGGTGTCCCTGCCCATGGCAGGGGGTTGGAACTTAGCATTGAAGTTGCTTCCAACCCCAAACATTCTATGGTTCTATGACCTGTGTTGTGACCGTGCTCCTCTCGCCAGCCTCCTGCTATGGGCTGAGCTACTGCCACCATGAGCCTTCCCATCCGTGCTTCCTCTCTGCTTCCCCCAGGTACGTCCTGCAGCAGTTTGCAGTGCTCCCAGGACTTTGTGACGTTCCCCAAGCTCGAGCAGGACGACGAGAAGTACCGGAAGCCTGTCTCTTCCTCCTCTTCCTCCCACTGCTCCCCTCTGTATGAAGGCCAGAAGGGGGACATCTTTGAGCAGAAGGTGATCTTCTCAGGCTTTGGGTCCATCATGCGCTTCTCCACCTCCGCCGTGAGCCAGCAGAGAGGCCGTGATGCTTCCCCTGTGGACTATAAAGCCTCAAACACTGTCAGCGGCCCTTCGGTGGGCACCGGTGGGACCGGCGGGCAAGCGCATGCCATCCCTCAGCATGGAGGAGGGAGAGGTGCTGAAGGAAAAGAAGCACAAGGGTAGCAAGAAGAACAAGCACGGGCCTGGCAGGCCAAAAGGGGGCAAAAGCAAAGAGATTTTGGGTGCCCAGCTGGCTGGGTCCACGTCTACGTCCTCGTCGCCCTTCTCCGGGGGCTCTCTTGTTAGCTCCAGCATCGGCAGGGTCTCCACGCCCCTCAGCCCCCACGG